CCGTAAGGGCTCGGAGCGGCTGGGTTCGCCTCCTTCGCCCTCCCGCTGGGAGCCTTACGTGGGGGCGGCGTGGGGGGACCTTCCCCTCCGTGGGTCGGGGGGGCCTCCCCGAATGCAGCCGTGGGTTTGCAGACCTCCGCCTGCGAGGCTTTTACTTGGCAGGCGTCCCCGCCTGCTCGGGTGCTGCTGAAATAGAGATGTTGGTTTTAGCGGGGACTTTTGTTGTTCTGTTTTCTTTTCAAATGAAAGAAAAAACAACAACAATTAAAAAAAACCCTTCTTCTGGCAGAAGAAGAAGACGCCATCCAATTAAAAAAAAAACAAAAAACCACCGCTCTTAAGTGCCCATCTTGGAAGGGCTCGGAGGCGAATGGAAACTCGAGGCTCTTTCAAGTCAGCGGAGAGGCTGCAATTTCTCCTGCGGTAGCGGCCGGTTTCTCCCCCGGGCCAAGCGCCGCGCCGAGCCCTCCCCAGCCCGGCCGCGACGGGTCCCCGCCTCCCCACGGCCCCGCTCGGGTCCTGCCCGCTGCCACCCGCGGGGAACGTGTCACCCGGCTGCGCTCGGGAGCCGGGGGTTCCGGCGAGCGACAGCGGGGGCTTTAATTGCGGCAAACGAGCGCGATGTCCTCTCTCTTCTGTCTGTTTCCCCTTCGTTTATTTTTAGTACGCTTCAAATGCCTACACATTTCCCTTGTCGAGATCAGTGCAATTATTTACTCTACCTTTAGGGATGCATTTACCCAAGCATTGAATGGAAATGTAGTAAACACTGCGCAAAGTCAATGCAGTTATTGAGGTTTATTTAATAGGAAAAGAAGTAAATATCTCGGCTTTACTTGTTTCTTCAGGCAGCCTCGTTACCTAGAGTAGATTGCAAGGAGAGTTCTTCACTCATTCCCGTGTAATGAGATTGCTTTATATGTTTATCTCGTATCTGTATCTAGCTACAGCCTCTTTTGTCAGGGTCTCAACGGACTATAAAAACAAATCTAAAAGTTAATTTAGAAAGGTAATCCGGAGGGATCCATTATCTGATCTCTCTATAGAAACTCAGCTAGGCGAGGTCCCGCGTCTGAGGGCGTAAAAAGAGACGGGCAACCGGAGCATCGCCTCCAGCAACGTGAATTCCGCCTGCATCCCCGCTCCGGAGCGGGAAACCTCTTGACACCCGGCGCGATTTCACTGCCGGAGTGAAACCGCTTTGCCCGACTGACTGCTCCCGGTCTCACCGCGCCGCTGTCCTCCACCTCCACCCCGCCAAGAATTATTTTTATTTTTCGCGAGTGGAGACCGTCACCTGTCTCCACCTGTTTGCCCTGACCCCTCTCCCCCCCGCCAGCACCCTTCGCAGGGAATAAACGAATGCGGGAGGAAGGGACGGGGTGGGGGAGGCGGTCAGAGCACATCAGATATCTGCAGCGTGAGACGCGGGAGGTATCCCGGGGTTCTGACAGCTGGATCTGGAACAAATCTGATCTGGATTAACTTGCCTGTTTTGTGAATTGTCTGAATTTGAGCGAGCAGCCCTCACCCACTCCGCTTCTGGCAGGTTTTGTTACACGTGCCTCTATAAATATATTATCCCAACCCTCTTTCCTCGTTGGAGTTCTCTGTTCAACAAAACAGAAACCAGAACGAGGAGAAGCGATTTTCTTTTTTAAATGAAGACATTTATAAGTAACCTAATTTCGTATCGTGGAAGTAAATTTCATGCTAGGATATATTTTGCACAACATGTAATCTTTTAGAGCCGGAAGACATTTAATTAAAGCCATATTCGGAGAAGTGCAGCTTAAAAGCAGTCATACGACCACATACCTCATTCATATTCAGGATCCGTCCGCGAATTCATATTGTTTTAATGTGGGACATCGCCTTTACGGCATAACTCTGCGAGGCCTGGGCAGCAGGAGAGATAACACAAAGGCGAGCCGCCAAGGAACAGCGCGGGGGGCTTTACCAGGCGGAGAGGTGTCTGTTTAACCTAAAGACCACCGCTTTCTGCTTCCCAGCTCCCGACTTTCGATCGGAGGAACTCCCGGCAAAGCACATGCCGTAGCTGGGGGCTGGGAGCGGGAAAAGCCCCCCGAGGACGGGCCGGGGTTAAGCATCCCGAGCCGGGCGCTCCCGCTTCATTGCCCCACGCTGCTGCCCGCTTCGCGTCGCCTTGGGAAAGACGCGCGTGGGGACAGGGTTTGACCAGGTCCTTTGCAATCTCCCCCCCAGGGGCAGGTCGGGGCCCCTCGGCAGCCCCATGTCCTAGTCCTCCGGGCTGGTCTGGAAGCGGGGACGCAGACCCACAGACCCTGAGGCCAAAAGGAGAGCTTTGGAGAAAGAGGGGATGGCGCCCTGCCGGGCCCCTTCACGGGCGCCTGTGAAGTTGCGGTCGCATCCGCGCCGTGTGAACGGAAAACGCACTTTCTGCTCAAGTTTTTGCCCCACCTCCCGCCCGACTGTTCGATTGCTCCACTGAAGACCAGGGACCCCCGAGGAAACGGGGGTGCAGGGAGGGAACAGCCCAGCCCCGAGGTGAGCGGGGAGCTCCCGCCCGCCGCCCGGCTCGCCGTCCCCCGCCCTGCGGGGCTGGGGTGCCGCCCGCCCCGCTCCTTCCCGGCTCCGCCGGCCGGGCGCTCGCCCTTTCGTTGCAAGAACTCGTCAGAACTGCCCCGAATGCGGGGCGAGTCGGATCGGACCCCCCCGCCCCGCTTCTCCCTATGGGAACTTTTGTCTGAGCGGCCGGTTGCCGGAGCCGGGGGACCTGTGCCCTCCGGCGTCCCGTCAGCAAGCTCTTTGATTTTTCTTCTTCTCGAAAGGGCAAAATAATTCCAAAGGCGCGGGGCAAAGCGAAGCGAAATAAACCGAAAACAAATTCCCCCCCCCAACCAAACAGTCGCCCCATCCAGCCCGAGGCGAAGCCAGCCCCCGCCTCGGCCGCCCTGCCTCGCCCTGGGGCACCGTCGCTGCAGAGGGGATAAAGCCCAGCGGCCGAATCAAGTCAGAAAGGTTCTGGTTAGTTTCCTTGTAGTGGTAATTAAAAGTATTAATTGGTTGTGTCGACAGCTTAAAAAGACAGGTGTTGCTAAAAAAGCCTCATTAATCTTCCAGTCATTACTAAGCGGCGGTGGGAACCGGGCTGGGAGAAGGAGCCGATTGTTTACAAGGGTCTTTCGAGGTTTAAGAAGGGAGATTATAATAACACCACTACTAATCGGACGACTTTCTCCATTCCTTTGAAAAATGAAAATAAATCAAATGGTCTGCCCGCAGCCCTCAGCTAGAACAGGGCGAGAAGTCTTTCATGGACTTCGCCGCGTTTAAAATAAACTTTAAAGGGCTTGCTTAATTTTATACGCATATATATGGATAAAAAATGAGGCAAATGGTTCATGCTTTGTGTCTTCGGATTTTCTTTTCCGTCGGGTGGCCTGTGGCCCGTGGATAACACAAGTTTTATACAAGTTCTCAGGGCACTGATCTAAACTTCAAAGGCTCTCCCTAAACCGGGTCGGGACCGGTTGTGCCGCCCGCTCCGCCGAGCCAGGCAAGAGTCGGTGGTGCCGTAGCCCGTCTGTGTCAGGACGAGGACGGGGGACACTGAGGCCCCCGCCATGACACCCGACCCCGGCCTTTCAAATGGGGG